CGTCGTTTGATCTTTAAGAAAACTAATTAAATGTCGATAATAATTATTCATTTTAAAATATACATATACATTCTTGTCACTCTATTTCGTAAAAGAATAGTATTTTCGCGTGCTGTTTGTTTCTCAACAATTATTTATTCCAAGATATATACGTACGTATATCAATATTTAGCATATCTACGAAATATTTTTATAAAAGAGCAGTGTCTTCCAAGTACTGTTTAAACTTTCCTCTCTCCTTGTTATACTCAACTCTCGAACATGAGGGTTAAGAATGAGTTAATTCCACCCCATTGAACTGAATTCGTAATAATTAATTTAGAGCAGAATCTCTCTCTCTCTCTCTCTCTGTTTTCGTTTCTGTTGAATCGCGTTATCTAAGGGAGCGTGGATAGATCGCGGCGAGTTCATTATACGAGGCAGGCTATCGCGGAATATGGTCCGCGAGATCGGCCTTATTGAATTAACGTTCACCGTTCGGTTTGCTTGGCGATTATCTGACGCGGCCTATCTCTATGTACCTGCCGTTCGTTACAATTGTCGTTATCGTATGGCCGCGATAATTACGAAAACAAAATCTGGTTCAATTACACGGGAGGCAGCTCGCGTACCGACAAAGCGATTTTTACCGGGCGAATCTTTAAACCCCGATCTCCCCCTGGACGTTTCTCGCCTCCTCGCGATCGAGGCTAATTTTCTTTGTTAATCATTTCGCAACATAAAATTCGATTCGAGCGTGTAAACTTCTGTTGGGCACGATATCGGGAGATTAGAGCGTTGTTTACGATTTAAGGGATCTTTCGTCCCTCGTATGTTATAAACAAGTGGGATTTTTATCTGGTGATGTGAAACACTGTTGTCGGCTATTTTTATAACTACGTGAGATTACGTGTAAAATTTGTATCAATTCCTAGCACAGGATATATACATGCTTTTTCTTTTCAATTAGAAACAAGATATTGATTTATATAGAGCGAATAGAGATTTTTAAGTTACTGAACACGAAGCATAAAACAGCTGTTTTATTAGAGACCTTGAATACATAGATACTCAAAGTTAAACGTGATATTGAAAGACGAGGATATTAAAATAAAAAGCTTTGTCTCTCATATACCATAAGCAAGACCGTTTATATAAATTCAATAATATATTAAATAATTCGTTAATATTATATAACATACGTATTATATTTTGAATATTCTACATATTACGTTTATTGAACGCAAATTTCCGACAAATAATGTATAATATAATATAATATAATATAATGTATAATATAATAATGTATAAAAATTCGCGTAGTCCGGACAGAAAAATGCGAATTTAACTGAAAATTCCAAAGTCTCGTTCTTCCCGTATCTCGTCTCCGAGAGAAACGCCATTAAACGCAGGGTAGAAAAAATTTCACTCGCAACGCGTTCGATGGTTCCATTCGTCGATCGAAAAGAGAGAGAGAGAGAGAGAGAGAGAGAGAGAGGGTCTCGCCTCGATCATAACAGCCGACGCGGGGGGTTAGCTCGATCTGAGATAGGGCTGGAATCATGGGGCGTAACGGCGTGTGGGGGTGAACGCGACGAGGGGATGTTTAAAAGTTCGCCTCTCCATTTTCGCGAACGCTCCTCCTTCCTTCTTTTCCCTCGTTCGATCCCGTGGCTCGCGATAATTAACGGGACACGCTCTGCGTGATCCTGGCTCCTTCGAATCAATCCACTCAAACATTGAAAAATTCGAATTGATATTCACTCGGCAGGGAACAGTTCAAAACGAGCAATATTTTTCGTATCTTGCATTCATACGTATTCTCCATATTTAATTGCATTCTGCGGACTCAACTTCTTATATCTCATATTTTCTATATGTCTTATATTCCACATTTTGTTTTCTATATCTTATTCTACATCCTGTGTCTCACATTCCACTTCTCATATTTCATATCCCATTCTGCATTCCTTGCCTCATTATTCTACATTCCACATCTCATATTCCCGTATATCTATGTGTGTATATCGTGTTACATATCCCACATTCTTCATCCCTATTCTACATTCCTTACCTCATTATTCTATATCTCACAGTTTACATTCTATATTCCTATGTTATCCCACATTCTTCGTTTTATATATTATATATATTATACGTTATATTTTATTATATTTCATATATCTCTATACACTACATCCTACGCACCATGTTTCATATTCTATATTCCATACTTCACATTCATTGTCCCATGTCCCGTTACACATCTCGCATCCTATTATTCCACATTCCACATTTTACATTTCACGTCCCATATCCCACATCCGAGTCGAGTGATTCCATTGTTCCAATCAGAGCACACAAAATTATCCACGGACGGCGTGGATTTCGTGGTCCAAAAGTAACCGAATTGTCGCGCGACGAAACTCGCAAATGACAATTTCTCCGCAACTCGCTGAATATTCTCGTTTCGTTTAGCACGAAGAGAGAATTCTCGTGTCGAGAAATTTCGAGAAATATCGGAAAAATCGGCAGGCCAGTTTCGTTGACGTTACGCGAAGCAAAGTCAGGTCGGCCGGCTGGCTTAAATAACCGGTTTCCTAATTCGCCGTGCGCCGTCCGAGTCGTGCTCGTGTCTAATTGCATACCATTTATGTCCCGCCGCCGTTCTAACACCTGTCTTACGAAAATCCATTAGCGGCGCGCATGCACGAGTGTCCCCGCGCCTGACGTGCGAATTTGTAGTTCCTCGCGGCCGCGGACAAACCTCTGACAATTCGCCGCTGACAACTCCCCCTCCTCGTATTCCCATCGTCATTTTCGCGTCTTGCGTGGGACGGAGCATGGTTTTTTTTTCGCGTGACGGAAACGTCCGTGGCTCGTTATTACACTCGCCCAACGAAAAAGAAAAAGAAAAAAGGAAAAACGACGTTTCTGTTCTGTTTTTTTTCCTTTTTTTTTTTTTCCATTTCAGTTTAGTTTATTTCGGTATCCCTGGGAATCACGGCGAAATGGGTCACTTTGCACACGATCTGTGTGTAGGTCGCGTTCCTTCGTTTTTTTAACTATTATTTTATATGTTCGTAGAAGTGGGATGGATTAGAATTTGATACGGAGTTAATAGCGTGTTTCGAAATTTATCATATTTTAATAATATTTAATGTATATATATTATAATAATATAACGACAGTTCATTTTAATCTTGAGAAGCAGGAATCAAGTTTCTTTATTTATTTTAAAAAAAAAAAAAAGCAGCGACAGAGTTAAAATTTTGCTTTTGACTTTCGCCAGTCTACGAGACTTGAAAGTAAGTTAGGGAAAAGGCATATTATCGTGGCAAAAGACACTTTCACTGTCAATAGGAAACACTGTTAGTGAGGCATGACGTTACGATGATAGACGGAAACGTGGCTCGCGCTCATAAAGCTTTCCTTCGCACATCATCGAGGCTAATCCTGACAGACACCAGTCCTTTGACAGTCTTCTCGAACGAGATATGGATTCTGACGTGCTGACAAGCCCTCGTGGCTGCCCGAGTTTGTTAAAAACAACGTTTTTTCCTTAGAAACTTATTGCCAGTCTCGCCGTTGCTTAAAAACCTGACGACATTACAACGATGCTCGGCATTCGAAACGACGACACACCGATATGAAATCTATGTTCGACCCAATTCGAGGCTGTGTAAAATAGTTTGTTCTTTCCGATATGTGCGTTTGAACTAAAATTCGAGAAACAGTTGGCTCGGAATTATTTCGCACTTTCTGACAAAACTGAAACGCGTTTAAGCGTAATACGCAATTTGAAAAGGCTGATAACTCGCTACTTTGAATAAACATTTCAAAAATTATCTCGCAAATGACTTTCGCGCATCGCGCAGTGGTCTTGAATTATTTTGACACAATCAGCAAACGACAGACACGCCGTTGTATTTTCGTTCCTTTCCCCTCCAAAAAAAGACAGCAGGCTCGATTTAATATTAATGCAATTTGTTAGTATTAATACAATTTTGTTTTAATATTAACCCTTTCGCGCGCGCGGCACATAATTGTGCACGAGACGACAACAATTGCGCTGCGAATCCGCGCGTTACCTCAGAGCTACATCAGGTGTAGCCCGAGTAAACGGAAAAAAAATAATTGCATGCGAAAATGTCAGTCAGCCTCGGCCAAAATTGCCAAACTAATGGAAATTTTAGACCAGACGAGCAGAAACGAATCGATACAATTTCAAATATTACTCGTCGGATGAAGAAAGCCGGAGCGAAGTTCAAAAAGCTTCGCTAAAATCCATCTTCCCAATTGTGGTCGCAATTACGTGGCGAGCGCGTGGTCCGAAAATTAATATTTCACGTGGAAGAATTTTTCTGTTGAGCAAGCATGAGAGAGAGAAAGATAGAGAGAGAAAGAGAAAGAAATGTATGATAAAAAGGCGAATCAGTTGAAATCGTGAATTCCAAAACAGCGCAAGTCCATCGATATTTCGGGAGAATTCATTTTCTCGTCTAATCTAATCTTCCCGATATTTACAGTTGATATTTCTCGTAACAAGTATGATAATTTTTCAACAGCCACGAATACTACCGTAAATTCGTAACGTTCAATTTTTCACTTCTTCTTTGCCGATTTATCAAAATTACACGAACGTGGAGTCGCGGCGATTACGGGAGAAACAACACGCTGCGACGTTTTTTCGAGATCATCGTCGCCGTTGAAAGAAATATGCGAGAGAGCCGAAAAAGACAGTTACATCAAAATAGTTGGCGCGGTATGAAAAAAAAAAAAAAGAAAAAAAAAGGAAAAAGAAAAAGTGGACCGCCGCTGTTTCGGGATTCATAGCTTCAATTTCCACAGGTGAATACCAGCGGGCCGCGTATTATACTTTGCCGCGCGTCCGCTAGGTTTCCACCTACTTGGTCGACAGTCCATTAGCGAGCCGACCTCGTTAAAACGTTTCCGCCGCTTAATCGTGCATAGCTAATTCCACTTGTCACACGTGCCCGGTTGTTCTTTTTCTTTTGCAGAGGCGAGATCCCTGGGCAACGGGAGAGAGTGTGTGAGAGAGAGAGAGGAACAGCGAGCAGTCAGTCGGCTGGATTTTCCCGCGGCAACATCCCGGAAGCGCGACGACAACGACGACTGTGCGCGGGGACCGTCGTCACTCTGTGGACATCGTGGTGGACATCGAGATATATATATATATATACATATATATATACATATATATATACATACAACAGCCAGCGCACGACCATCGTCACCACTACCATCATCGTCGCACATCGCCGCCCTGTGTGTCACTCCTCCTCGTCTATATATCGTTCCCCTCTTGTGTGTACACACCGTGTGTGCGTCTCCTCTGTCTCTCTGTGTGTCTCTCCGTCCGTCTGTCGGCGCGTGTATCCCCCGCGTACAAACGATAATGCTGGCGGCTGACGGTTTCGGTGATCGACGACGGCGCGGCCGGTGAACTAGTGACAGTGTGAAATCGATCGCGAACAGGGAAACCGGCCAGCGGTCGGTCGCTAAATACACCCGGGGAATAATGGCCAGCGCGACAATGGGACTCCGTCGCAGAGTACCCGTGAACAATTCGCCGACCCCGTCCGGCCAATCCGCGTCCGCAGGCGGCTCGTCCAGCACCAGCGGCAGCAAACGCTCGAGAACTGAGAACAACAACAGCCCGTCCCACGGTAACCTTAACTCAATGCACCGGGACGAGCCACCAGCGAAGAAGTCGCGCGGCACATCGACCAACGCGACCAAGAACTCCTCGTCGTCCTCCAATTCCACATCCCCGGAGACTAGCCCATCGTCGAAGAGTCGCGGTGGATCCGTGTCGAGGTCGAATGCGCAGAGTGGCAAGACCTCGGCCGCTACCTCGTCCGTCTCCTCCACCACGTCGGACGCGGTGTCCAACAGCGGTGTGCTGGTGTCCAACAACTGGCAGACCTCGTCGAACATGTCCGACGTGTCAACGTACGCGTCGGTGGCTGGACTGAGCATGGGCTCGAGCCCAACCGGTGGCCTATGCGCCGGTAGCCTCAGCATGACCACGCCGATTCCGTACATGTCGTCGTCGATGGCGACGTTCGTCGGAAACGCGACCAACCTCGGTAAGAGCTCGTCCGTGTCGTACCTGGACATCTCGAACATGACCGGTGGCTCGTTGAGCTCGTCCGCCGGTTTGAACGCTGGCTACGTTGGCAATGGGAACGCGGGGAACGCGATCGACTCGAAGAACGGTGTGCCGATGCCTTTCCCTGGTATGACCACCGCCGGTGTAAACGGAACTGGGCCAGGTGGTTATGCTGGGATGCAAAAGGGCCAGCCGGAGAACGCTGGTCTACCGAAGAAGTTTCAAAGCGATGGTATGTTCAACGCGTATCAACCGTGGGTGATCAAAACGTACGGCGATTTGGCGAAGACCAAGACCATTACGATCAAGAAGTACGCGCGTATACTGCGGACACTGAGGGGCGAGGAAGTGAACAGTGCGGAGAACAGCAAGTTTCGGTTCTGGGTGAAGAGCAAGGGCTTCCACATCGGCCAGCCGGAAGGATACGACGCGAAGCCGGCCGACAGGATTATCGGCCGTCACGCGGTGACGAGTCCCGGATTGGATCCACCGCTCTACGTGCCCACACAGCTGCCGCACAACAAGGTGAGTCTCTATCTGGCCTGTCTCTCCTCGTCGATTATCGTGTTTCCATCGCGGATCTCTCGCCCGTGGGGCTCTCTTCCGGCTAAAGGCCTCTGGCCTGCGCGCCACACTGCGGCGAGGTATAAATACGGACTACGGCACTAGCGTTTAGCTTGCTCGTTCGAGTTGGAATTGGCAGAAGTAAATAAATGCACGCACGTGCGATCGAAACCGGGCCGTATATTCATTCGAAAAATGTCTGACAATGAGCAATGATCCGTGTAAATTCGCAGTGCCTTGCATCTGTCACGTGCTTACCCCTCTACCGACTAAAACAAAAATTAGATACTGGATCAGAAGATGGTTGAGAATTTCGATATGACTATAATGAAAGAGTCGAAAGAGGTGTTCCGGCAGTGTTGACGTACTCGGAGGAGTTCCGGTGCTATCGATGTATCAGCGACGCGTCTCATATTGTTCCTCAGCTTGGAACCGCAACCGGAGTAATTCGAGATTAGCGGGCAGTGTCGACTTTCGTTAAAAGAACCGCGTGACGAGCCTGGCTGGCTCCGGTGAAGATAACGCAGCCTTGGAAAGTATCAAAATTCTCGACCATCTCGTACAATTCGAGTATCTCGTAGGTACCTGAGCGAGAGTATGTACCTGTACATCTTGGGATTTACGATTGAAATCGCTAGCCTTAAGATTTTCTCGCGTTGTCGAGAATTTTTTGCCCCAAAATTGCAACATTCTCTTGGTTTTAAGTATATTTAAATATAACCCAGGCAAAACGAATAATAAATTTACTACTTCTCAATAATTTCTATCCAGTGATATCATCCCGACGAGTTCAAAAAGAAAGCGACAAACTGTTGTATACGACTTGGTCACTCGTTATGGTCCGCAATCAGTTGCCAGCGCAGGAGGTTAAATAACGATCGGTTTCGGGGAACTGCATGCAGTCAATGTCTAAACATTGCATGTCTCAGTGTCTAAATGGATAGATGTAACAAATTTTAAGAGAAGATGCCAAAAATAATGATCTAGCTCTGTGTCGTTTCTCGTTATTTCTCTTTTTGACGTCACTGAGAGTCGTCAAATTTGCTGAATCCAAAAGAACCGTTCGTAAAATCGAAGCAAAAATTGGTAACTCGAAATCGTGAGTCGACACGAGGCCGGCAAGACGAGAGAGACGAGTTGTTCAAAGTGAACCACGCTAAAAATACTTCATATTGAGTCCGCACATTTGTCCGACGCCGGACTGAATATACTCTGACCACGTGTAAACACACTTCAGACTGCTTCGGTTCGATTTCGCTCATAGTCATCGTTTTTAAAACCTCACCTCGAGAACGTTAGACGAACGTGCCGTCGGCACCACCCCCGATTCGTTCGCCAGCTGTGAACTTCGATCGATTTCTGAAGCTGTAGTTCTTGAAGCGACGTTCCGCGCAACTAATTTTATTTCGTCACTCTCGTTTTTCGTTTTGCCTTCGCGTCAGAATCACAAACGACCCCGAAACGAAAAAATTCCGACTCAGCCGAAAGGAAAGAAGCGCGAATATATCGTTTCAGCTTTCGAATTGTTTCGCCGTGCAAATTCATCGAAATGAAACCCAAAGTTTCGAGCCAAACGATAAAAATTTACTGAAACAAAAAATTCCAACAGGGATTTCCTAGTTCAACTTTGGCCATTTAACGAGACCCCACGCCAAAACTGTACACACTTGATCGAATCAGTTTCCGAATCCGTCAATCCGCTTATGAGACAGAATCTTTTTTGAATTTTCTGACAACGAACAATCTTTTTCTAGAACAAACTTCTAATTGTTCAAACAAAAATCTAACCTTAAATCTCTGACAGTAGGCCGGTCTTTCCCTAATTGCAATAGATTGAGAAATATTTTTCATTACAGTAATTTCTTAGAAAAAAAAAAAGAAAAAATATAAAACGTTCGTCTCGATGACCAAAATATATTTCTAACGTACGTGATTACTTCAAAAAATTACGCAAATGTCACATATATCCGGTGCTATCAAATGCTATCGAAGAAAGATCATCAGACGAGCAAAATATCAAACCAGTCGGGTACCAGGCGTGTCTATCGCGATCCACGAAAACCCGGCCGTAAAACCATCGTTCCCCGGAAGCTGTCGCGCTGAAACGCCTCTGCACGAGCGTTCACGGCCGTCGACCGCAGACGATTTCCTCGGCGGAAGGTGTGTTACGGGTCGGGAGAATTTATCTAGCCAGCAAGTGGAAAAACCGCGAGAAATCTCGGGTCACGGTTTCCACTGTTGAAAATGGATCGCAAACGTGCACAGCCCGAAGAGAACGGGGGTGGACGGAAGAAAGAACACCGAGTTGCGCGAGAGGGTGGGAGGGGAAAGGCGGTCGGATAAGGTGGCTGCTTAATTACGTCTAATTACACGGACGTATAGGCAAGGCAACGGTTGGTGGCCGGCGGCGGTGTGTCCGCCGCTTGCTCGGCCGGGGCAAAGAAACCAACCTCGAGCAACCGGAGGAGAAAGAGAGAGCGCTCTGGCTCCTCGATGCTTCAAGTTTTAACTCGTTCGAGGCGCTCTCGTTGAGATCCGATCTGAAAAGCGTCCGGCGGGCAGCGGCTGTGGTTTCCTTTTTGCCGGCGCGAGTCACTTTGATTGGATTACGGGGTGTAGTGTAATTAACTACGTAAAGTGTGTTATTAACGAGTGCCGATGGCACGGCGCGAGTCAAACGAGTCGAAAGTGTTTTTTCTATTTATAGGGGAATTCTTGGAGAGATGCATACGTCTTGTTTTTAACACTTAACGAGAAGAAGACAGGAATATAGAGTACTCTAGACTATCGGGTAAGATCTTTGACGTGTAAATTTGTATTTTCAAGTGGCACAACTGCGAAATTGAAAATACGTGTCTTTTATTTCCCGGTGCAGGTCATATGTATCAACTCGGCAATAGAGACGCGGGTGATTGATCTAACAATTTGTCTAACTATAAATATTATTTCTTGCATCCTCCGAGATAAAGTTAATGTTCATACGTGTCTATACGTAATCAATAATGTTATTTTTATGAAGAAACATAAAACATAGAGGTATTCACGTATATTGTGGTCGAATGTTACGTTTCACCGAGTGTTCACGAGCTACCCACGTAGATATTTCCGTTTCAGAAAGCCACGTGTACACCACGACGGGTTAAGTATCTGATCATTTATGGATCAGAGGAGAATATACATATAACGGTCCATTGTGTATATTTTCGTACACTAATTTACATACCAATTAATTCGTGTCAAGCACGTGTATTAACACCAGAGCTATCGAGGACTAATGTACAAAAATGAAGATAAAGAAATTAGAATGTAAGGAATAGGAAAAGATTTATAACACGACAGTGAGCTTTCGTTCGTATATTTTACAAAAACCACTCGAATTTCTAAAAAAATGCAACATTGTAAGTCCGCAAAATTACTCTAAAAAAATTACAAATTGGTCATTTTGACCGGTTTGGTAGTTCCAGTGTTAAATTTCTCATCATTTAGGTGCGAGTATTGACTTTCGTACATTCTCAAGCATATTTAACCCAGTGTGTGGCGTACGTTTTACGTGTCATATGTTGCACTTTGTACACTTTGTTCGATACCGCGATCTCTGGTATCGGGAGTCGGGAGAGAACCATCGGTAGCGCGTTCCACTTGCAAGAGCGGCAAGTTGAGCGAAGAAGAGGGCCACAGCGTGCGAGATCTCGTCCGTGAGAAATGGACAGGCCATTACGCGGCTGAGATCGAAGGCCGTGGCGCGCGTGTTACGTTGTAGAAACTGCCGCGAGCTGGATCGAACGGCAAAAGAGAGAAAGAGAGAAAGAGAGAGAGAGAGAGAGAGATCTGGGCTACCGGCCAATCGGCAAAAATGTGACAAAAACCCAAGGAAAATGAAACTCGTGGAATTTTTGATCTTCGAAGAACACTTCAGCAGTCAGCTGACAGTACATAGTAATATATATATTCAGTATATATTTGAGTTCTGACTTTATTTACTATAGCGTGTGATATTTGTGGCCAGTGAGGAAAGTACCTACGTAGTCATGCTTTTGAAAATGAACAAACGCATGTAAATCTATTAATATTAAAAGTAAATTCTCAACAGAAATGTTACAAATGTCTGGCCTCTGATGAAAGTATCTGGTCATTACAGTGTATATTGACATATTCGTGTTTTATTCTGTCTGACTATTAACGCGTAACAAGAAGATACATAATACTGTTAGAAAAAATATCTAACAGCATATTGTACCTTATTTAACAGTGATTTAAGCCTATTTTGTTATCCAAAATCACGTTGTCTCTCTTTGTAACGTTGGTCATTCATATATTCATTCAGGTATCTTCTTAAACATTAATAATCACACGTAATAAATCTCGAATATGTTAACATGTGTACCTGTGTATTAAAAAACCACGTGTGTAAATGCACACGAATACTCGCCCGTGTACGTGTGCATATCGGCGACTTCTAAAAATCGTGTTTCGAATTCGCTTGCTAGACGTGTACACGTGTACCGTGCACGTGAAACAGGGTAAAAGAGGCTCTGCACGATACTGCACGCGATACGCGTTGGCTGGCCAGCGCAAAAGAGAAACGAAAAAAAATTTCAGTCACGGGCCGCCGTGATAAATAACCGATAATAAGTTGTCCGGCGTGGAACGCGTATGGTAATGCCAGGAACGTCCACGGAACGGATCGATCTTCCGGCAGGATGATCGCGCGCGCCGCGGGGCTCGACACCACCACCACACCACCACCACCACCATCACCGCCTCCGGTATCATCCCACCGCGATTGCAATCGATTCCGGAGGCTTTCTTCCACTCGCCGAGATCGTTTCTTGTTATCGAGACTTCTCTCTCGATCGTCCTCCAGCGAATACTCCAGTTCCGCGTCGCCTTCCCTTCGTGTACATAGATACGTATGTACGTACATATGTGTACGTGGATATTTCCTCCTCCGGAGAATTTGCTCCCGCGTTTCGATCCCGAGTTTCCCCCCCCCCCCCTCGAAGGTTTTCCAGAGGACGGGTTTCCTTCGGGAGGGAGGCGATTCCAGCGAAATTTTTAAGCGAGGAAAGACGAAACGAACTGCTCGTTTGAGATCCGTGCTCGTAACGCTGTATCGAAGTTCCAGAATCGTAAAAATGAAACGCCGGTGAAGAATTATCTTTCGAATTAAAGTTACCAACCAAGTAAAGCTGAAACTGCAATAATAATTAATAATTAATAACAACTCGTTCTTGATACTTAAAAAAATTCTTCTTAATTTGGGGCCTGAGCCACTCGTCAACAGAAAATTGAACTTTGTTTCTAGTAATTCTAATAATTGCATTTCATTTAACTACAGTAAGGTGAAAAAAATGTATTGGAATATTTCCTCCGATTTTTTGCATCTCGAGTCGCGAAAGGTTAACCGGTTCATCAAGTTCACTCTCCCGTTGGATAACGCTTGGCAGCGAGCAAGACGAGTTCATTCGAGCCAGTTAATTGGTTCGATGACTGCGTTCGATAAACGCTATCAGATGACGCGTTCTGCCTTCTGTTTTTTTCACCTCCCCTCTCTCTTTTCTTGGTTATTCATCGAGTCACCTCGATTCGAGCGATTCGAAATCTCCTCTCAGACGCCGCGAACCCGTTATTTACTCTCGACGCGAAATATCCTTTTCGAGTTTCTACGCCCGTCCTCGAATTACCTCGATTCGATTTTCCTAATCCGAACGAAAGACGTTGCCCTCACTGTCTGTCGCTTTCTTTCGTTAGATAAACGCCAGTCGAACGCTATAAAATCCCGGATATTCGGCGACGATGCACGTCGTTTGCTGTCTTCGTAACTCGAGCTCCGATCGCTTCCTTTTTCCACGTCACAGAGATCGTGCTTTCGTGTTTCTTTTTTAAGTGACGTACGAAACGAGATACGATCTGGGAACACTGAACGATTGTATATACATGGATTTCGTTCATTGCGCCGACTGTTGGTCCTACGAGACATCAAACGTTCCGCTACGATCGGGAAAACCTCGTTGCCACGTTTCGTTTGAAACTCGCCACTTTGGTTGGAATGATGATTAGACGGTTGTAAAATATCGGGCTGAGAATTACAATAGGACAAGTCTTTAAATGAATCTCCGATTTTAGTTTGATAGTTCAGTTCAATTTACATCAAATTGGGACCTGTTCCATCAATAGTGCCACGTTTAGAAATGGCAAGGAAGAGGATTCTTAAATATCATAATCTCTGTTGTTTCGTTAGTTATGAAACCGTTGAGGAACAGAGTGATCGTAACAATTAAATACTGAACTGAAGATCTCCAATTAGTTCTTACTATATGTTGAGTTTAATATCATGCGCGACTCTCATTTGAGTTTAATATAAAAGAACATTTCAGAGAAGCTGATCCTAACTATGTACGTATTTCTTCAATTTCGATTTCATGCCAAATCATGATTTATAGCCTTCGTGTATTATAATATGCTATTTCGTGTAGTCATTATCGATCGTATGAAAAAAAAAAAATCCAATGAAAACGTAGTATCATTCCAGAAGAAACTCAAGATCGGAAGAGGATTGAAAGGATCTCCTCCTCTCACGTGTAGTAAACGAGTCGGGATCTCACAATCAGTGTAATTTTAACGTACTCGTGTATTTCTGTTACACGTGTTCACGTGTACTTAAATACACCTGTATATACAGCCGTCAACTCGAGATCCCCGAAATCCACGTGTACAGCAAACGAATCTGGGACCAGTGTAATTTCAAGACGCTCGTGAACTTTCGTCACACCTGTTCACGTGTACTCGAGTACACGTGAAGTTTTCGCATTTCCTTCTGCCCCGAGCAACAATCAGAAACAAAGAAACCTCGATCTCGGCCGAGGCAGGGACTTCCTACACGTAAGTGACAAATGCATGCACAACATGCATATTTATGCCGCTGTAACGAAGAAATATGAACGATGGAAAAAAACATGCCACGAGCTTCTCTGACGCAGAACATCGCCAAGACCCTGACGTTTAGTCCACGTGTCGCGTCCACGCGAAAGTATTAACCTCTTGCGCTGGAATGGCGTGCCACGCACGTCGAGAATATTTGGCCCAAAATTGCAATATTTCCTCTAGTTCTAAGTATATTCAAGCATAACCCAGGCAAAGCAGATAATAAATTTATCACTTCTTAGTAATTTCTATCCAGCGATATCAGTAATGTACCGATAAATTCAAAAAAAGGAGGCGAATTATCGTACACACATCGTTTGGTCACTCGTTACGGTCCGCGAATCAGTTACTAGCGCAAGAGGTTGAGAACGCAATTACGGAGGGGAATTCCCCAATTTCTCGTAACAAGCACGTTTCACGTGGCCACGTGTGTGAACGTTCAGGTGATCTATCTCGGATGTTCCTCAGAATGGCGATCGAAAGGTTGCATCCGTCATACGAGAGACAGTCGAGAGAGACGAGGGAACGAACGCGCGATTTCCCGAGGCTTTGGGTCTCGAGGCGCGTTCTCAGGCGACGACTGAGTACGGAGAGAAAGAGAGATAGAGAAAGAGAGAGAGAGAGAGAGAACGCGACGGCAGAAAGGCAGAGTGCGGCTCGGAGCTATCATTAACGACGCCGCGACGCTTCGCAGCCCAGGAAGCTCTCTCGGATTTACGCCTCTGACGTTCGTGGCGGCGTAAGCGTGGGATTCCAGGCGCGGAAGTAACAAGAGAGAGAGAAAGAGACGGACCGAGAGGAGGAGTGGTGAGGCAACCGGAGGCGGCGGCGGTGGCGGTGGCAGAGAGAGAAAGAGAAAGAGAGAGAGAGAGAGAGAGAGTGAGTGAGAGAGAAATTGGCCCCGCTTCCCACGGAAGGAAGAGAAGCAGAGCAGGCGCATAAAGTTGCCCGGTTCCCTCGTTCATCCGATCCGGATTCAGTTCCGCGTGCTAGTCGCGGCGGAGATCGATCAGAGGAGAGGCGGCCTCTCTTCCGTTCGATTCGCGATGCTCTAGCTTCTTCTTCTCCCGACGTTGCTGCCTTACGAATCTTTACCAACCGACAGGGATCTTAGCACTCTCCGAGGCTCCCGAGCCATGTACATATGGTGGAAATATGTAAATACGCGTTCTGTCATGGTCAAACAAACGCCACGCGCGAATTTTTAAAATTGATATCGACTGATATTCGGACAGAATTTCTGTGAAATTCTAGGAGCAAATACATATCTGTGAGAGATTAATATTGACTTTCAACTTGGTTCCGATCGCCGATGTTTCGTGAAAGATCATCAATTGTAACAGATCGTTTGATTTCGGATCTTTCTTTACTTGGTGTTTTATTCGTCTTCTCTTGTTTGCAGAATTGTCGCACGAAGAGCTCAGTATAGCCAAGAAAACAGCTTGTCCCGTCGAAACTCGTCTAGTAGTCTCTGTCGGTTCTACTTGCCCGTAATGGTAATTCTAAAAATTCTTTTTTTTTTTGCCAATATCTCGAAAGCTGTTCACTTCCCTAAGGATACACCCTCGCTTTCGACTTTAGTAGTTCATGAATACGTTCAAACGAGAAATTGTACCACCATGGATACTCCATGTATGTACATATATAGTAGATCTCTTCCTCTCTTATTTTCGTCTCACTTTCCTTTATTTTTCTCGCTGGTTGCGCCACACGTAGACGTCCACGTGTGTGTATGTGTGTGTATGTGTACGTGCGGTGCTCACGGCGCGTAACGACGCCGTTCGAACGCGCCGCCCGTAAAATATTTCTTCGTCGCGATAGTCATTTTTCACGGTTGACCGTCGTCGAGGGCCGCGGAGATAACAGCCACGGCTCACCTCTCTCCGGTGTCTGTTCACCGGCGGCCACGGCGCGCGCTCCTCTCTCGTTTCTCTCTCTCGTTGGGTGGCAGAAGAGTAGGTCTGGCCGGCTAGTCATTAGTCACTTTCCGAAGCAGAGGCACAGACAGGCTCTGCGCCGGTATCCGTTCTTTCTCTTTCGAGAGGGGCTTGCGCCTCGTTGCACGCCTTCCTTGTATCTCTCATTCTCTCTCTCTCTCTCTCTATCTTCGTCTACAGTTCTCCTCGTCGGCGTTTCTCTTTCCATCAGCCGCGCGCTTTGCCGCTTCTCTGTACCGGCCACCCTCAACGATCGTTTCGAGAGAGAGACAGAGAGACAGAGAGAGAGAGAGAGAGAAAGAGAGAAGCGATACCAACATCCGCGGAAACCAGTTGAACTCCCAGCAAACTTTCCAGATGTTTCACCGGATTTTCGGTAGTCCCGGATGGTCACGTACCGCGGAGCCTTTCGTTTGACTTTCGCGCGCGTGACCATTTTTGCAGAAACTCGGCCACCCTCGGTTTTAATGTGATTTTTTGGATCGCACTTCCGAAAACGTTGGCCTGTACTACGTTCTGTTCCTACGTTTCTGTTTCCTTTTCTGCGTTATTTTATATCTTTTTTGCTAACGTCTACTAATGGTGTTCTTTGGTATTAATACTAGGTTTACGGGACCAGTCAATTTGACTGGTTACAGATTTCACGAGTAAAATCGGAAGAACTTCTACTACCGTACGAATAATTCAAATTGACGGGTATCTGGAGAAATAGGTTACAAGAAATGTTCGTATACCTAGTGTTAGACTACTTCTGCAATTTTGCTTTTATGAACAATGTGGTCAAGGAATGTGGATGAGGAACAAAAGTTTGAAATAGAATGTCACGACAAGTTTGTACACTTTTGTCGTATTATATGTACTTTATAGCCATTTGCAATTTCAAAAACTAAATTATTCTTAATCTGTCCGAGCATCTTGGAACACAGCAACCTAAAAATACTGTAATTTTGAATTGAACGGTAAATATGGCGTAATATATGTGATACTAGAAATATTAATAGTACAACATTTCTCTACTGAATATGCTTGCATGTAGTATTTTAATTTTTAGTTGGGAAAATTTTTCAATTGAATTTTCTTGCTAATCATATTTAGTGTCAGAATGTAATGTATTTGCGTATATTTAAGTTGCTGGCGAGAAGTTTCAGAAGAGCGATTTACGTGCGAAATTTGAATATACTAACGACCCAAGATATATAAACATAAATGGACAATTCCACTTTTATAATATCGACGTCAAAACAAACAAAACAACGAGATATTTTTACATTTCAATCGATAAAATGACACTTTACAATTTTAATCCTTTGCTTCCCGATTTTTTTTTCAACCTTTTCAGTACTTACTAATCTTCAACCTCAGGAACCGAAATTGGAATTCAAACTCCATGCTACCGAAATTTGCTTTCTTTTCCAAATTACAATTCTTGCAAACTCTAATTCGCACCGTGAGCATGACTAGATTAGAAATAAAGAAGAAGAAAGAACAATCGTCAAGTACGTATCTGTATTCTCCTAATCCAACGGATGCTGGACGTCCGTCGCTAAATCCGTGGAAACGCCAACCTGCAAACACGCTCGTTCCACGGCAAAAAAAGAAAAAATAAAAAAGGAAAGAAAAAAAGTTTCCGGGCGAAAAAAAGGGAAAACAAGAAAAAGCCAACATTTCACCCAGCAGCGCTATCAACAAACCCGGATCACCAATTAATCCTTTCCACCCCAACTGCTGCAGCAGCAGCAGCAGCAGCGTTGCGGCAATTTCCCCGCGGAGATATCATCGTGGCGTATTCGCGCTGGAAATTGTTCGAGAGCTCGTGTCTCGAGCGCCCATCGCTAACCACCCACCCACCCACCCATCCACCCTGGCTCGCCTCGTTCGTTCGTTCGTTCGTTCGTTCGTTCGTTCGTTCGTCGTCCCCTCGAGCCAGTGGCTGCTGCGACTCGAAGCAGCAGTAAGTCTCCCTTTTCGGTCCCGCCGCCTGTGGCTTCGGTCCGTTCTCCGGTTCTTCTCAACCACCCCATGTGTGTATGTGTGTATGTGTGTGTATATATATATATATATATCGGTCGCTCCCTCGAGTCACGGAGAAATTCTGCCGACGCTCTCTCGCCTCCTCTCCTCACGGTGCTAAGCCTCTCGCGCGCGTCTATCTTGATTGAGAGCCGAGGAACCGAGCGCGCGGCACAGGCACACACAGCCTGTGTGCCAGAGAACGACCCGATGGAACGAACGACGGCTGTGTAGAGAGAGAGAGAGAGAGAGAGAGAGAGAGAGAGAGAGAGAGAGAAAGAGAGTGGAACAGGAGGGGAGGTGCTGAGAGAGGGAAGGTGGCTGCGAACGCGGTCGGGAAAAGGGGGGTTCGGGACTCGGGGCGGGCGAACGTTCTCTCTGAGACCCGTGATCCGAAGCGAGAGAGCGTTTATCGTGCCTTCCGTGAACACGAGCGGCGTTCCGAGGGACGAGGCGGGAGGGACGGGTTGTCATTGATCGTCCCGACTGCGGCTCACGAGCCGCTAAAGGTCCCGTACAAGTACGGGCCCGTGAACGTGCGGCGGCCGCCACTGCCATCTCTTTCTCTATCTCTCTCTCTCTCTCTCTCTCTCTCTCTCTCTCTCTCTCTCTCTCTCTCTCTCTGTCGTTCGCGTGTGGGCGTGCATGTACGTGATGATCGCGCTCACCGCATACATACACACACACACACATTGGTTGATTCTGCAAGCACGCACGCATGCGTGCGTGCGTGTTTCGACGACGACGACGACACACGGCCACGAAGAGCAGAGCGGCGCGCCGTCGAAAAGGCACGCTCGGTTGCGCGGCGGAACGATCGCAGCCGAAAAAAACGCGACGACCGGCGGCCCCAAGCTACGGAGAAGGACGCGCGCGCGTTCGCCTGCCTGCCTGCCTGCCTGCCTTGCCTCTACGTGGCCGTTTTTTCGCTGGAAATTGCCGGAATGGTTAGCGGCGCGCAGGGTGGAACGAACCACGGTCGTTGCGAAAGAGACGGGCATTCCGGCCGTGTGTGGGTTTTTTGGCGCACGCTTTTCTGTTTTTTTTTTTTTTTTTTTTTTCGGGGGGGCGTTTTCTCTTTTTTATTTTTTTTTTTCCTTTTTCGAATCGTTCTTTTTTCCCCGGTGGTTGCTTTTGAAGGGTACAGATAGGGACCGTAGGTTTTTTTCGGGAGAGCGATAGATAAAAGGGTTGAGAGGGATGCGGGTTCGGAAGGGATCGTGGGAGGGCACGAGGCCTCCGGGAATCGTGTTTCGACGAAGGTCCGTAGAGAGACGTGGAAAACCTGCGGGAAAAAAAATTGAAATTTTCAAATTTTCCGCGGAGTAGAAATGAATTTCGGAAAAGTTGCAATCGAGACAGACGTGAGTGAGACGACCAAAAAAGGCGAAGATTTGGTTATACTACAGCGATTGACAACTGTCGGAGAATGTAGTACGATGAATATTTAAATTTGAATTAAACCATTCGCATTAAATTTGAACTGAACTTCGAGCCTCGATTTTTCAGCTCAGCTCAGTTTTAACTAATTTTAATCAGAGCGTGTTTTGAGAATTAAACAACTTAGTCCAGACTAAGTTAGGAATGTGTTTGTTATGCCTATATATTTATCAAGCCTTTTTTACACATTCCTTGATAAAAGTTACCAAGACTGAATATTTTCTGTATATAAAATATTCTCGCTTGAAAAATGATTTTTCGTTGTTCGATATTCGGCGTATTCCGCCACGAGTAAAATTTAAACGTTCTCAATGGGAAATTAACACTTTCACGCACACCCAAAAAAAAAAAAAAGAAAAAAAGATGCAATGAAATTAACGTTGGAACGTAGTGACGAAAGGAATAAGGGTCGAAGGGCTACGTTTAATGGGGTTAGGTTTGGTCGAAAAGGCGGCGTTGGAAAGCGATTACTCTCGCGTGTGCTGCTGGGCTTGCACGCTTTTCGTCGCCGTGGCGGCCTTCTCCCATTGTACATGTGCGTGCATGTGCGCGCGCGCGCGCGCGTCAGTGGTGCATATGTGTGTGTGTGTGTGTGTGTGTCGCTCGGAAAAGATTGCGGCCGGCTGGCTGGGTGCTTCAATAGAAAGCGGTCGATTCGACACCGCAATCGTGGCATCTGTTACCGTGACGATCGACCGACGATTTTCGCTTCTCCTTTTTTATCCGACGAGCTGGCTAATCGTCGGGACGTCGTTTGCTTTCCCGATGGAAACCGCTCGCTGTTTGCACAGTGGAAAAACTTCTGCGCCTCGTTTTCTTTCCCGCAGACAGATTTTCTTTGTGAGAATTCGCCGAAACGCTTTCAAAGTCCGCGAGGAATATCTCTTTGTTTCGAGGTGGACTTTTGACTTTGTTGCTTTGCAAAAAAGTGATGTCGGATTTTCGAGTCTTCGCTGGTGGCTCATGACAGTTTCCGAGTGAATAGAATTTTTATGGTTAGATTAGTATATATATATGCATATACTTTGACGGGGTCTGAGCGTCGATAAAAAAAATGTGTACGTACATGTACATTTATGTTGTGATTGCCTAAAATTATGTAAGAATTTTCACTTAATTTAATTTTTGTTACAATTATAAATGTAACGCTAAATTATTATGATTCTCAAATTGCTCAGTGATAGCAGTTGAGAGTTGAAATGGCTATTCGTATGTTGCAATAATTTTTTTTTTTTTTTACCAAATATAATCTCTTGTGTTAATGATATTTCAACATGTTTTATTTAACACGATATGTACAAGTTCTTCATATATATATATATATAGAGAGAGACATACATGGAAGTATTTCTTCTACGATAAGTGTACTTTCGTGAGCTACTTTAAATTGCCCAAAATGAACGAACATTTCGAACAAAAGAAACATTTCGAATTGTCGTCGGAAACGGTATTTTTAGAATTCAAATGTTTTTAAGTAAAAAGAAATTGAATACTTATGATATTTTGAAAAGAGACAGATGGAAATTTTATATAAGAATCATATAATTCCTCTTTGGCAAGATATACATCCGGATAGAATTGATCTCGATTTTTAATCTATAGGAGAGTCCGACGATTAATTTCGCCTGTATTTTATTTCCATTTCTCCGATATCTCCGGCGTGTAGAGCGGGACGGAAGAAAAAGTTCTGTTTTTACACCTAGAAGGTGTATGAAATATGGAAACAATGACAAATTCGATACACGTTCCTCACCATGTTGCAACCATTGGGCAGAACCCCATATTGACAAAATATTTGCGAAGCATTCGTAAGCATTTGATTCTTCCCCGTATTTGGAAATCTGCCACGTGTTCAACTATTTATCTTATATTTAAAAACAAAAAAAAAATATCAACTCGCGTGAAATATTGATTATTGTGAAATATTTTCGACGAACGTAAAACCCAGCCATTCGTAATTCGACAATACCGTTCCAGAGTTAAGTAACATTTAATTTACGCATTTATGAAAATCTGCTCTCGACACTCCGTCTCGCACGCTTTCATATTTTCAAGGATATAAATCTGAAACAATTCCTCGAGCGTTATCAAAAAGTCTAAAAGTTTAATACCTTTTTACGTACGTAATAAGTAAACCAATTATTTTTATTATTGACTGACGTAACGTTCAAAGGTTTAAAAATCCACAGTCATCGCTATAAACCAACAATACCATTCAACGAAGGTTTTGAAAACCTTTACCCCTCGACATCCTGTCTTCTCTCACACGTTCGTTCCCCGTTTCTAGCTAAAATCAACCATAAAGCAACTACAAAACCCGAGGGGGTGAAAAAAAAAAAAACAAAAAGTAATCGTAAAAATTTATCGCAGTTTTGAGAAGTGGCGGCTTATTTCAATATTTCGCGTATTTTTAAAAACGGTTTTCAAAGGGTTTCCCTCCGCGGTGTGTTTCGTCGACGCACGAAGAGGGAAGTAGAAGGGGGAAGCTAACCAGCGTCCTTGCCTCGCGTCGAGAAAAAGAGGAAACGGAGCAGAGCGGCTAACTGAACCGATAATTCCCCGCTACGATTTCAGAGGTTTGGCTCGGTTAACCGTAACCGTGGCTCTCCGAGGCCGCGCAACACGACCCTCAGTCAATAAAACAGTTGACCTCCTCGAGGAGGAGCAGAAAATAATGCGCCGCAGAGCTAGAAAACCGTGGGCTTGACTAGCAGGCGCTTGGACTTTTGGCCAGCACTGACTAACTAACCATTCTCTCTCTCTCTCTTTCTCTCTGCTAATATTTTTGGCCACAGCGTAAATCGCCCATTCAATCCGACCCTTTCTTTTATTCCCTGGCCTGTGAATACGCTCGCCGACGGTGCTGAACGCGGCGGATTTGTTGTTTAAAAAGGATATCGAGCGTCAAACAAGAGATGGAGGAAAACGAGAAAAATTCACGAATGCACGTGTGTGTGTGTGGGACGAGAACTGTTAGACAGAGGAATAATAATTGCTGACGCGAAGGTCGAGATTGGAAAAGTTCTGTCTTGCAAGGAGGAATCTTGAAAGAAAAGGAAGAAATAAATAATTCTCCTCTGGAAATAGGCAAAATTCTGGAATTTCCAAGTTTAGAAAATGAATCAGAAAGAACGGTCAATGACCGCCGTAGCAAGGAATTTTGACACGTTTGTAGGAAGGAATTTCAAAATGCGACGATTTTCTACCAAAGTTCTTCGGTTTTCATTCCCAAAAAATATCGATCTTCGTAAAAATCCACGCCTCGACAATGTCCCAACAACACCTCTTGACGCCCCCTTCCTCGAGCAAGCAAGCGATTCCGAACCGCCCCGCTGAAGTGTAACATCCACTTGGAAACGTAAATTCACCAGGCGAGCCGAAAAATCCCAGAAACCTCTCTCTTTCGCTCGTCGGCGGGGAGCATCAATCACTCCTCTGGACTCGAGACGTAAGCTCGAGAGAGCACCGGCGCGATAGATTAATTCCCCATCGATCGACCTTTGAAAAGAAGCAATAAGAAAGGGGCCTCTCGCTGCGGCTGTTCCCCGTGTGTATCCTCCTTCGAGTCAAGGTAAAGGAAAAAAAAAAGAAGAAAAAGAAGAAGAAGAAGAAGAAGAAGAAAATAAAAATAAAAATTTTACGAGGAGGAGAGAGAGAGAGAGAGAGAGAGAGAACAGACGCGCGAGGATCCGTCGTCGTTGAGGCTTGGTCCGGGCCACAGGCCACCACGGCCGGGGAGACCTCACGCGTTTCTCTTTAGTGCGTGACTCAGCGGAGCCGAAACACACTGGAGCCACCCTCATTGTGTCTGCCCCTTCCTCCTCCTCGCCATCGCCACCACCGCCACTCGTATGTGCAGTGGCCGTCCAGGGCCTGAATGCAACCAGGCGGCGAACCCTGCTGCTCTCTCGACACTAATACCAGCACGTGCGTGTACTTTCATTATCGGGGCAGGGTCGGTGATAATAATCGTGGTGCGCCGTTGGCCCGTAGCGTGAGAGACGAAGAGACGGATAGAGGGACGAAGAAAAGAGAGAGAGAGAGAGAGAGAGGTGGAAAGGGGTGCGCGCGCTACGACCAGATCCGGAATACGGGATATATTAGGGCAAGGGGTTGGAAACCATTACGGACGGGGGAGCGGCGATATTTTTTCCATGCCGCTCGTTCCGGTGTCGTCCTTTCGATTTCTCGTCGTAAAACGACCGACCGATCGTTCCTATATATATATATATTTTTTTTTCTCTCTTTTATTCCTCGGTTTTATACGAGACGCGTGCACCAGGAGGAGGGGAGAGGGCTTGACGATGTTTTGAACTAGGCGGGAATGTGTTTTGGGAGTATTTGCTTGGGAGATTGTGTTGGACGTTGGAGAAATTTGAATCGAGTTGAATAATTCGAGGGGGGAGGGAGTTGGGACTCTTATCGTTAAGAGGATCTACGAGGAACTATTCGATCTTGAATGCTGCGATTGTCAAGTGAAATCCGAGTATCTGAATATATTCGAGTCAGTTCACATCCGGAGTATCAAATTTCATTGTTTTTGTACAACCGAGAGAGCGGGTTTCACAAGCCGTCAAACGTTAACTTTTCGCGAAACGTCAAATAACGGTGGCTGACCAAAGATAGATAGCTATCACTTAATCGGTAATCTTGTCCGTAATTTAGAATCTAGCCCAAGATTCAAGACCGAAAAGCAGTCAAAATCGCAGGTAATCGAATTATCCTGTATGAATAAATTTGTTTAATTTGAATTCAAGTGTAGAGAGAAACGAGTAGTGTTCCTCATATTTGAATAATTACGAGTGAAAACTAGAATGATACATGAACTTGAGTACCTATTCAAAGATCGAATAAATATTGGACGAATACTTCATTAAGAATTAATATATTCGTCAAAAAATCCATTTAAGTGATAATACTTTACTATCGCACTCGGCATCGACTATAAACAAGATCCAGAATGATCTACGTAACTTGAAAACCTAGATGAAACTCGTAAGAATCCGAACAATCGGACAGTCGAGCTTCACGACACATTTTATCGGGAACGTAAAAAGGAGAGCCAACAAACCGTCGGGGCGCTCGGTTTTCGTGCGAGCAGCGATTTTACTGCGGCGTCCAGGGGCTGAAACGAGGAGGAGCCCTCGCTCGACAACGCCAACGATCGAAATCTGCGAGCGCGCGATACATGCAGAACCACTTCGCGTTTCCGTGAGGTCGTCGTTGCACACGAACGATGCAACCACGCGAGACTCTTCTGCGCGAGAAATTCCGCTCGCGGGGAAGAAACACGCCGCTCGGATGTTGTTTATGAGCCGATATCTGTTCCGCGCTTGGATAGGGCTTGTTATCGTTACCGTTAGTAGTAGTTCTTCCGTTTCGAAGCGTAACTCGCGGTTCGAGCACGTATCTGGGAAACGTGGGTGAACCAAGGACTGGTTCCAGTCGTTCGTTAACTTTCTGTAAGAAAAAACTTTCTTTTTTTTTTTGAAAATACAAAGAAACCTACGTAGCGTCAAATCTTTAGATACGAAACAACGATGAATATATAATTTTCAATAATATACATATAAATATGTAGCTTTGAAATCAAGTGACTGTTTGAGCTATCTAGAATAATTATTTTATAAATATTTTGCTTTACAGCATAGTTATACTGTAGTAAACTAAGCTGGAAAACAAGATCGATGGAATACAACATTTCAATTTTAATCTTCGATTGCTTGAGCAACAATATTAACAATGGTAGGTCATTCTTATTGAGATATGGTCAAAATAATTTGTCGCCCAAGATTTGCTCGAATTATCAAACACATATGTAAAAAGAAGCAAGAAGAGATCTCTCGTAGTATTCTTTATATCCGAAATAAAACACACACCAAGATAACGTTAGCGAAAGCGAGCGACACATCAGATCCAATTGCGAGACGTTATCGCGCGGAACGGAACAGACAGCGTGGCCTTAAACTCGATACCCTCGCGCCGCAAATTAGCGCTCACGGATCGTGCGCAAGTAGACGCGCCGCTTATCTCCATCGCCTTCTCTCTCTCTCTCTCTCTCTCTCTCTCTCTCTCTCTTTCTCTATCTATCTCTGCGTGCCGATAACTCGTGGCCGTCGTCGACTCTGCTAATTAGCGGGGCTACGTTTCCCGATCATCGGGTCGGAAACTTCGGATTTCGACTCGTCGTTCCAGCCAAACCCCCGGGTTCGCGTGATCGATCCTCCTTCCGTCTCTGCTCACCCTCCGCCTCTTCCTCTTCCTCCTCCTCCTTTCAACCTTTTTGATTCACCGAACCTCCACCGCGACACGAACCATTTAGAAAAGCACGCCGCGCGATGCTATTTCGCCCGCCTATTTACGTAGCCGACGGCTGTTTTGAATTTAACCCGGCGTAACGATCGATTTATATATCCCATCGGCTATCCTATACATATCTCTTATTTATTTGCGCAACCCGTCTACGCTGCCGACGCTGGACGTCGTTCTCCGCTCCCGGTTTTTGCCGCCTCGATGAACGTTATTTCACCGGCTGACGCTTATCCGCATCGCCTCCACTTCAGAGGGATATCTCTGTGCATGTATCACTGCGATGCTTGAAGGTCCATCGTGTCTTTTTTTATTTTTATTTGTTTTTTTCGATAGCTACTTCGTGGTGTTCTTGGTTTAGACGT